TTGAGCATCTTTTCTGTGCCAGACAGGGATACAGTAGGGAATGAGACAGACCTAGCCCTGTCTCCAAAAGAAAATGAACAAATAATGAATATATAATGTAATAATCCTATGAAGAAAAAGAACAGGGTGCTTGGATGGAGAGGAATAGCGGGGGTGGGGGTCATGGGAAGACTCTGACAAGTCAGTATCTGCACAGAGGCCTGAAGTCTGAACTGGAAACAGGGAAAGGAAGGATGGGGGGGCGATGGGGTTCCAGGCAGAGGGAACAGCACTGCAGAGGCCCTAAGGCAGGAGAGAACCAAGGGGGTAGGGTGGGGGAATCAGAGGTTCTCCAGGGTTGGGCCATGGTCAGGATTTTAGATTTTATTCCAACTGTCCTGGGGAGCGGAGCTGGGGCCTGACACCAATGTGAGCTCTTCCTCCCTCTCAGGCGAGGCTCTCTCTCTGGGGCACAGGGCTAGTCCAGATCCCCCCCCCATACACAGAGGCAGGATGTCCTCAGACCAAATGTAGGAACTGCCAAGCTTCCCCTAAAGCGCAGGGAGATGGCCACAAACCACTTCAGGGCCTTGGGTGGCCAAGAATTGGCTGGGGTGGGAGGGGTCAGCTCAAGACGGTATACTCGAGGAAACTTAGGGACTCCCCGGTCCCTCCTCCAGAGGACAAAATTGTAGGATAAAGCAAAGAGTAACTACTATTATTAGGAGCCTAGATTTTCAGTGAAAGAGAAAATAAATACAAATACAATATGAAAATAGTTAAGATGGACAGGTATTTGTACACTCACTTTCATAGAAGCATTACTCACAACAGCCAAAAGGTAGAAACGACCCAAATCTCCACAAATGCATCAATGGATAAACAAAATGTGGTATAAATACACAATGGAATATTGTTCTGCCTTGAAAAGGAAATTCTGACACCTGCTACAACATGGATGAACCTTGAAAGCCTGATGTTAATTGAGGGGAGAAGAGACTTTTCCAGGGTCGCATGAGCAGTTAGTCCCACCCTTACATCCATCTGTCTAAAAATGATTTGCTGAGCACCTATGACGCGCCCCGCCCCAGGATAAGCAAGAGGGGTAGGGGGGTAAATAGTTGGACAGGGTCCTTGTCCTAAAGTTGCCCACACTCCCGAGACAGGGACACTTTAACTGACACCTGCAGCCACGCCCACAGCTGCCTGCTCCCCAAATCCTCCCAGTTCAGTTCCGGTTTCGCCACCTGCTCCCCTCTACAGCCCTGCTGATTTTGGGGGTTTGTGTTTGGGAGCAAAGAGTTCACATCTTCCCTCTTCCCAGACGTACAGACGCTGCCCAGTCCTCCGGCCTCATCTGCAGGATCCTGTCTCAGAGGGGGTGGTGGAGTCGGCGAAATGATGCCTCCCGGACAGAAGGACAGATGGAAAGACAGATGCAAAGAAGCAAGCCTCTCACGTTCACCCCACCTCCCTCCACTTCTCTACTGGGGGTGTCACCCAGGAGGCCCCTCCAGCAGGAGCCTGGCCCACCCCCTGCTCTCTGGACACAGTGCAGCTCCTGTCTCTCTCTCTCTCCAACAGCTAAGCAGCTGTTTGCCCACCTGACCCCCAGGTGAAGTCAACTTTGCTCTTGGAAGGAGGTCCCAGAGGGAGGGGCAGTTAAGGCACAAGTGGAGATGTGGGGGAGGCACCAGAACGGATGCTGCGCAGGTGGCAAGAAGCCAGGCTGCCTGTCTCCCGAAAGCTCCACGAGCCAAGCAGTGACAGGTGGGGGTAGGTGGCTTGGAACCCCGTTCCCTGACATCTGTCTCAGCTGCCAGGCCCTGACCCGGCAGGTGCGCCCAGGTATGGGGTGAGCTGGCCCTGGGTGTAAAACGTCTCTGCTAGAGGATTCCAGCGTGGGCGGCACACAGCTGGGCCATCTCCTCCTCCTCCCTGTCCCCCAGCAAAGCAGGAGTTCCCTGGCTCCCACTCAATGCCATTGTCTGCCCCTCAGCCCCATGGCCCAAGTTCAGGGGCGACAGGTAGTCACGGGGGTGACCAGTATTTCTGGGACTCAGGGATTTCCTGGGACATAGGAATTTCAGCGCTAAAACCAGGTCCGTCCTGGGTGACCCAGCACCTTTGGTTACCCTAGCAGTTGCCCACTCAGTGAGAGTTAGGGTATCCAGAAGTTTCCTGATTCCCAGAGTATCTCACCTCCCTTATTACTCTGCGACAGGCACCTCGAATTCCAGTATTATACAAGAAGTTTTCCTAAAGACACTCAACCGTGTTGGCAATCAGAAACGGCAAATTGAAATAATGAGATACTATTGTTTTTACTCCTAAGATTGGCTCAAACGAAAATAGTCGTAAATGAAAATGTTCGTGAATGACAAGTCTGGCCTCAGTGTTGGGACACAACCGTTCCAGTGCCAAACAGAGCAGACCTTCAGGAGGGCAGGTGACGTGTGCACCGCTGGGTCCCAGCAACCCTGCCGCTGGGGGTTTCCCTGGAGGAACATTTACACAAGGAGCCGTGGGGGAAGGGTGCCTGCTGGGAGGGAGACCCCAACACAGGCTATGACACGGAGGAACCTTGAAAACATGATGCGAAGTAAAAGCAACCCAACACATGGGACACGCCGCGTGACTCCATTTATATGAAATACAGAATAAGGAAATCCACAGAGACAGAAAGCAGGTTAGCGGTTGCCAGGGGCTGCGGGCAGAGGGAAGTGGGGAGCTTAATAGATACAGGGGGATTTTTTTGTGGGGAAGGTGAATAATACAAATGTTTGGGAACTAGATAGAGGAGGCTGAATCATTTACCTTCAAATAGTTCATTTTGTTCTGTGAATTTCAAAAAAGTTCCTTGTTAATAATCCTGAGACCCAGAAGCCACCTACCTGAATGTCACCTGAGCCTCTGGTACAGCGGCTGAGCTGACAGAGGTGGGGAGGGAAAGCGGGAAGCGATTCAATACTCTGCCTGGAACAGCTTAGTGGGTAGATGACCGAGCCAGCACTCAACCAACAACAACAACGGCGCAAATAATAATAGTCATAGCAACTGTAGCGATCTCCTAGCACTGCTGTGACAGTGAGCACACACTTGGTGCCTTAAAATAAAACAAATGTGTTCTCTCACAGCTGTGGAGGTCAGAAGCCTAAAATCGAGCTGTCCGCAGAGCTGCACGCCTCTTGGAACCCATTCCCAGGACATAATCAAAGAGGAAATCTCCCTCAAACCTTTGCAGGAAAAGTTTACAAGAAGAAGGATATCATGTCTAGCAGTTCCTTAAAATCCTCAAGAAAAGAAATGGCGACAGGGACGAAAGAAGAAACAAAACACGCCACGTGCCACGAGGCTGCAGCTGGGCATGTTGGATTCTGCTGTGTCCTTCCTATTTTGTATGTGGTGAAAATTCTCCTAATAAAAAGTAACACAGTGCACCCAGCGTAGGGTGAGCTGATGGACGCAGAGAGGAATGGATAGATACGTGACAAATCAGGTTTAGTAAAACATTAACAGACCAATGTTGTTGCATGTTTGAAAGTGTTCATAGTAAAGAGTTAGGGGGAATGGGGCAAAACCAAAACCAAAACCAAAACCAAAACGAGAGAGAGAAACACAGAGCCTTCAATAGTCCCCATTTCCTACAAAGCCTCCCAGGGCTTAGCCAGCATCCACCCACCACCTGCCTCAGACTCTAACCTCTCTGAGCCTCGGGTCCCCGGCGTGTCAGCCACTGAGAGCCCCCTCACTAGGGAGTGGAGAGCCCAGGATGAGAAGACCAGGGCTCAGCACCCCATCAGCACCCCACAGGCACTCAGGAAATGCTGCCTCCTGTCCTCAGAGGTTCCGGGCCACTTCAGTGACTCCCAGATTCTGGTGGGACATCTGGTCAGCAAAGGGTCCACTACGAGCCCTGCCTGCTTGTTTGTGCCTCTCAGCCTCTTTGGTCATTCTTCCCCAGGTCCAGCACATGTTCTCTGTGTGCTGGGCCCTGTGCTGGGTGCCAGGAGCCCACACATTGAATCTAACAGGTCCTTGCTTTTAAGGAACCCCCCCCCCCGAGATGGATAGTTCCAATCCAGTGGAATAAACACTCCAAGGGAACTGAGCCCAGGACCCAGAGCAGCAAAGCCTGAGAAAGCTAGGCTGGTTAAAAAGCTACAGTGCATGGACAGGCCAGGCCCGTGGATGCTGGCTCCCCACTAGGCCCAGAGGAGACAGAGCCTCAGCAGGGGGCAGGCCCTGGAGCCCCTTCTGGGCTCAGCAGCCCTTTCCCCTCCTCAGGGAGGAACCAGCGTGACCCCCTACCCCCACCCCGGGCTTCTTAAGGGCAGAAGCCTGCTGGCCGGTCTGCAGCTGCAACCTCGAAAAGCAAAGAGGTGGGGATATTTTCTCAGAGGAAGAGGAAGGGCAAGAGATGGAGTACAAATTATCTCCCCCCAGGAGCCAGGCTGGGCCGAGGTCCAGGGCCCAGAATCAGGACACCTTGGAGGGCCCCCCCAGTTTAGAGATCCGATTCCACACCCCTCAATTTGGCCACCAACATGCCTGCGTTCTTCTTAGCGCAGCCAGGACCCAGAGTTACACCTGGAGGCTCCGTTCAGCATCTCGGGAGGGAGGCGCCATCATGATCCCCACTGGGGAGGTGGGGAAACCTTAAATAACTCGAAGTCACCCAGTCTCTGGCCACGGCCTCTCTACTCAAACAAGGTCACTGATTATGGCCACCCACGCTGTGAGCCACCAGCCACACACATTATCTCATCTAAGCCCCGCCATGCCCTGAGGAAGGAAAAACATTCTCTCCATTCTACAGAGCAGGAAACTGGATTCAGAGAGATTCAATACTCTGCCTGGAGCAGCTTAGCGGGTGGATGGCGGAGCCAGCACTCAACCACCACCACCAACGAAGACGGTGCAAATAATAATAGTAATAGCAACTGCAGCGTTCTCCTAGCACTGCTGTAACAGTGACCACACACTTAGCGCCTTGAAATAAAACAAACGAGTTCTCTTACCGTTCTGGAGGTCAGAAGTCTAAAACCAAGGTGTCCGCAGAGCCCCATGCCTCCTGGAGGCTTCCAGGGAGAATCCATTTCTGGGCCTTTTCCAGCTTCCAGCCACAGACTTAGCCCCTTCCTCCCTCTTCAAAGTGCGTTACGCTGCCGTCCTCGGCTTCCACCATCACATCTTTTTCTTCTCTGATTCCCCTGCCTTCTCTTAGAAGGACCCTTGCGATCACATCATTGGGCCCACCTGGATAACCTCGAGGTCTGTCAAGATGCCTAATCACACCTGCAATGCGCCTTGAACCATGTAAATCGACATGGTCACAGGTTCTGGGAATTAAGACTGTGGACTTCTTTGGGGGACCATTAGTCAGCCTACCGCAGCAGTTAAGACCTACTGAAGTCTTGCTACGGGCCAGCCCTGTGCTTGGCATTTTACAGGCATCATTTCAGGGCAGCACGCCTCACACTTTAATGGGCACACTGGTCCCCAAGGGATCTTGTTAAACTGCAGCTTCAGGCTCATGAGATCTGGATTTCTAACAGGCATCCAGGCAGTGCCGATGCCACGGTCCAGAGATCACCTTGTGAACAGTGAGGCCCGAGAAGAGGAGGCGACAAACTTTTTCTGTAAAGGACCTGATAGTGACCATTTTCAGCTCTGCAGACCCTGCGGGCTCTGCTGTGACAGCTAGAGCCCCTAAACAGCCACAGGTAATACAAGAACCAGCAGGCATGGCTGCAGGACAATAAAGCTTCCGTTACGGACACCGAAATTTGAGTTCCATATAGTTTTCACATGTCATGAAGTGTGATTCTTCCTTGATTATTTTCAACCTTTTAAAAATGCAAAAAACCAGCGGGGTACAGCTCAGTGGTAGAGCATGTACTTAGCATGCATGAAGTCCTGGGTTCCATCCCCAGTACCTCCATCAATATCTATATATCTATATGCAAAACCCATTCTTTGTCTATGCAAAAACAGACGCCTGACCAGATCTGACCCTTGGGCGGTAGTTTGCAAATCCCTGATCTGGAATCTCAGTTTCAGCAGAGTATGTGTTTCTGCCTTCTTTTGTTCACCATAGTGCCTCCTGCCTTTGGAACAGTGTCTAGCACCGAGTAGCTGCTCAAAAAATATCTGCTGAAAAACAGACTCGTAGACACAAAGAACAAAATAGTGGCTACCAGAGGAGAAGAGGTGGGGAGTGGGGCGCGAAATGGGTAAAGGGAATCAGCTGTACAGTGACCTACAGAAACTGAATTGCTGGTGTCAGCACACTGTAACGTATAGAAAGTAGAAAGATAATGTCATACACATGAAACATACAATGTTATAAACCAATGTTATCTCAAAAAATTAATCTACCAATAAATAAGTAAAAGTAGGTCTTCTATAAAAAAAATTTTTAAGGTAAAAATCCAAACTCCGAAAAGTAAAAATAAAATAAAATAAAAATAATAATAATAAAAAGAATTTGTTGAACGAGAGAGTAAACCATCTCATTCGATTCCCACAGCTACTTTCCCAAGCAGGTACCATTATGAACCCTGTTTACAGAGGTGGAGCAGATGAAAGTCATCTGTCTGAATTTATTGATGGAAAAAAAGGCACAGAGGTGGCAGGTCCCAGGCCATGCAGCTGGCCTCCTGGAGGAGCCAAAACCCCTCTAACCCCACCAGTGTCCTTCCCAGGGACCCGTCCCCCACAGCCAGGGTCACAGAACGCCCACCTCCCCAGCTGCTGCAGGGCAAGTTCTTCTCCCCAAAATAGCAGGTCTGGGGCCCTGCTCGCCGCCACCCCTTCAGCCAGTTCTTGCCAAGCTCTCACAGAGCGATGAAGGGCAGTGAAACTCTCCCCCTTGGTGGCTGGGAACAGCAAACACCCAACACTTCCGGCCTGGGCAACCAGACTCGAGCTCCACCAGGTCAGAGGATGCTGGCGGAGGCTCCAGGCAGGTCAGTGCCTGGCAAACAGCTTCCCTTCAGGGGCCAGTCTGGTAACACAAACATTTGAAACAGGAACGGGTGGGGTTGAAACCATAGGTGCCGAATTTGCTGCTACTGCCACGAGCAAGGACACCTGTCTGGTTTGGCGGCTTTCTAAAGCCCTCTGTGGCCAAGACAATACATCAGAGACCAGCATGGCCTGAAGCAACTGGAGGGTGTCTCCCTCCAGATTTTACAGAGAGCACTCCCACCCCAGGACCTTTGCCCATGCTGCTCCCTCAGCCTGAAATGCTTTCCTGCCCCATTAGTTAACTCCTTCTGGGACTCCGAGTCCCTGACACCGGCACCTCCCTTGTCACACTAGCAATTCCACATTTGCTTGTGCAATGAGTTGATGGATGTCTGTCTGCTCTTGTATTCACTTCCCTCGGGCTGCTGGAACCACTGACCACAGTCTTGGTGACCTAAAACAACAGAAATGTATTCTCTGACATTCTGGAGGCCAGAAGTCCAAGATCAAGGTGTGGGCGGGGCTGCTTCCTCCTGGAGGCCCTAGGGGGCAGTCCACGCCCTGCTGCCCTCCCTGCTCTGCTGGTTGCCGCCCAGCCTTGGCTTGTAGACTCATCACGCTGATTTCTGCCTGTCTTCACATGGCTTTTCCCTCTGTTTCTCCTCTGTGTCTGAGTCTTTCAAATCTCCCTTCTCCTTTCTCTTATAAGGACACTAGTCACTGAATTTTGCACCCACTTTAAATCCAGAATGTCCCCAAGATCTTTAACTTCATTACGTCTGCAAAGACCCAATTCCCCCAGAAGGTCACATTCACGGCTGCCTGGGCCCTGAGTGTGTCTTTTTGGGGGGCCACCATTCAACCCACTACAATCCTTCCTAGATTTGTGAACTCTGTGAGGACAGAGACAACGTCAACATTTTTCACCAGGATGTCCCTGGTACCTGGCCCACGGCCTCACACACCTCTGATGCTCAGAAAAAGATTTCAAAGGCAGGATTGGCTCCATCCTTTGCGGAAATCAGTGAGAAATGAAATCGCAGGGTGCCTTGTTCAAAAATTAAGAATCCCAAGATGGTGACAGTAGAGCATTCAACCCAGCACAGGGTCCTTCTGAGCGGGGGGACCCTGACCACACAGGTTGTCCATCATGAAGCCGGCCCTGGTCGATGGAGTGATGAATGTTGAAAACTACCTACCCTGCCAGTCACCCTGGGGAGTGACTGATGAAACCGTCTCCAGCCCAAGCCCCAGGCGCCAAACCCGAAGTTCTTTCCATTTTGCAGACGGGAAGTCCAGGCCTGAGAAATTAAGGATTTGTGAAGTCAGATGAAGCCTGGACCCAGGTCTCCTGACCCCCTGGCTCTTCCCTCCCACCGGGCCTTCCTGCTAACTCTTTGGCGGGAGTACCCCACGCTCAACCCTCTCAATGCCACCCAGGGCTGGCCCCCTCGCCAGCCTGGGGACACTTCAAAACAAGTGCAGTGGGGACACTGAAGGAGCAAAGGAAAAAAGATTGTAAGAACTTGGCTTACAATTTAAATGAATCACAAGCTTGGCCTGAGCATCTATGTCAATCAGAGCAACATTTGAGGGACGCTTACCCTGGAGCTGGCTGGGATCACTTGCAACAGCCTATCCATCTTTCATCTTCACGTCATCCAATGAGGAAAGAGCTGCCTGAGCCCCATTTTACAGGTGGGTGGCTCAAGTTCAGGGTAAAGTGCCGCTTGAGGTCACTGCTGATTGCACCCAGCAACCTCTGACTCTGGGACCCAAGGTCTGCACCGCTCTGCTCATAACCTCTCGACAAGAAAGCCAACACCTGCGCCACAGCTCCACACAGCCCTGCGAGGAGGGTGCTATAATTACCCCCATCTTTTAGACAAGGAAACCGAGGCACAGAGCAGTGACTTGCCCAAGGCCACGCAGATAGCAACAACCCATTTGAATTAAAACTTAAGCAATGAATTTCCCAAGTCCTTGCTGCTAACTTCTCAGTGATGCCACTCGGGAGTCTCGGGGGGGACCCTGAGCAGGAACTGGGCAAGGGAGATGTTAAAGGGAGATGCTGCTCCTGTAGGCAGGAGACTCCGATCTGGAAGGTCCAGGGGTCAGCTTTTCCCACCAGTGCCCCCAGCAAAGCAAGTCCAGTGCAGTGGAGAGGCCACAGCATGGGAAGCAGCAGAACCTGCCCTCTCCACGCCTGGGGCTCCCCTCTCCCCGAGCCCCCGCTCGTAAAGTGGGGACAGCTGTAGCACCCGCCCCCCCACAGGGCTCTTAGGAAGACTGAAGAGTTCATAAAGCACCAGGCACAAATCGGCACATGACAATGACTTAAAAACATGCCTACGGGTGAACAGGGCACACAAAGTGTCTGAGCCTGTCCCTCAGTTCCCAAGGAGCTAAAACCAACCCTAGCCCTAGCAAGTGGGGGCCAGCCTTCCTGGATTGCCCAGAACCAAGGGGTTCCCCGGATGCGGGACTTTCCGTGTTAAAACCAGACAGTCCTGGGCACTTGGGGATGAGCTGGTCACCTTTGCCCTAGCTGCCCAAGGCCACTGGCTCAGCAGAGCCTGCTCTGGGCTTGTGATCTGGAGAGAAGAGGAGTGAGGACGAGGCTGGCCACTGCTGTTCCGAGGGAGACGGGAGGCTGGACTTCGGGGCTGGGGAGGGGCCTTTCCTTTGAAGCGTGCCTGGCTACAGACATAAAGTGGCCTTTTCTGCTAAAATCTTTCATCAGCCAAGAATTTCTTCTCCTCCTGGAAGGGAGCCAACGTCCCATTCGAAGTCCCTGGGGAAGGAGAAGAACCGTATAAGCCCGGGGTTAGATGCCTACTGCTGTAACAGAGCATCACAAACCGGGCGGCTTCTAACAACAGAAATGTCTTCTGTCACAACCCTGGAGGCTAGACATCCAAAATCAAGGTGTCGGCAGGGCCATGCTCCCTGAGGCTCCAGGAGAGAAGCCTTCCTGGCCCCTGCCCAGCTTCTGGTGCTCCTGGCCTCCCTTGGCATTTCTTGGCTTGTGCCAGCATCACTCCAGTCTCTGCCTCCTTCATCACACCACCTTCCCCCAACCCCCACCAGATGTATCTGTGTCCAAATTTCCCTTTTCATATAAAGACACCAGTCATTGGATTTAGAGCCCACACTAACCCTGTATGATCTCGCTTTAACATCTTTTATACTTTCACATCTGCAAAGACCCTATTTCCAAATAAGGTCATCTTTATAGGTTCTGAGTGGACATGAGTCTTGGGGGCACACTATTCAACCCAGTATAGGAGACCTACCTGCACCGTGCCTGGAAGCTGGGGCAGGGGCTAGGCCCCAAGTGCTGAAACACCCTCACCCACTCCCCACCAGTCTACTGCCTTGGCCTATGCTCAGGTGAAGGGGGGAGGGGGAGGAGGACCAATTGGTTAAGGACACCAGTGGCCAGGCCAAGAGCTGATGGTGAAGGAGGCTACAATGGCACTTGATGTTGTGGTCTGCCTAGCCTCCCTTCCTCCTCTTCCTGGCAACAGAGCCTGGATTTTCCTTTGATTTGCCATCACACACCTCAGTTCACAAGATTTGGGTAGAGATGAAGATATTCCTAGCTCAGGGGATGGCAAGGGGTCCCAGGCCTGGCCGATAAGTGCAACGCATCCCACTAGACACAGCAACTGGCTCAGGACAGGACAACAGGCCTCACCAACGAGACTCAACCTGGACTTCTCACCCTTGGGAAGCTGAGAACTTGGGCAGCCATTTGCCACTAAAAGGAGAGGACATTCGCTTGAAGGAAACCAATACAGAGAAAACTAGATTCAAGAGACACTGAAGGGGATTCCTGGTACCACGTTTGCATACCTAGATCCAGCCATACCTGAAGTCATGCCTCTGCCTGCACTTTTCAATAACATGGGTCAATCAGTGCCCTTTTACTGAAGCCAGTTTGAACTGGTTTTCCATCAGGGACAAGGGAAAGAGAACTGACACATGGTATGGAAGCACATTGGACCTTGGTACCAAAATGGAAGCCGAGGTCCAGCACAGTTGGGCAACTTTCCCAAGGTCATGCCTTTGTAACAGGCACTGTGCTAGGCAAAACTTGGTCCCTACTTCATGGGACAGAAGGAACTATTACAGGGGCAAGGAGCAAGGCCAGTTTCAGTATTTCAGTCCCAAGCACACCCAAGAAGTTGAGCCCCAAGACAGGAAACTCAAGGATGCAGGAGGTAAGGGTTTTGGGGTGAGGGGAGATAGAAGTGGATCTGCTGAAGGAGTTTGGGCAAGGGACCCCTGAGAGGAGATGGGGGTGAGGACTCTCAATACTAGGAACACAGCTCTTTCTGGAGACTGGGAGAGGCCCTGGCCCCCAAACTTGGCTCATGAGCAGCAGTCCTGCCAACTTTGGGCTCCCGACACTTGGAGTCGGAGCACAGAGCAGTCCCAGTGTGGACTCAGGACCAGAGGGCCTTTCCATACATGTTCTGACCCCACACCCCATTAAGACTTTCTCCCAGATCTGAGGAGTGAGGGAAGGAAGCCCCAGGATTGAATAGCTGGTAGCTTACAACATGTTCCATACGATTTAGAGGAATAAAGAATTGTGACATTTTGTCTACACTACCCAAAGTCATCTCCAGAGTCATTGCAACCTCTATGACAATTCCAGTGGCATTTTTCACAGAAAAAGAAAAAAAAATCCTAAAATGTGTATGGCACAAAAGACTCCAGAAAAGCCAAAGCAGTTCTGAGAAAGAAGAACAAAGCTGGAAGCATTATACTTCCTGACTTCAAACTATACTACAAAGCTAGGGTATCAAAACAGTATGGTGCTGCCAAGAAACCCCAGAAATCAAGAGCCCAGAAATAAACCCTCCCACATATTTGATGAGCATCCTCAATGGGGAAAGGACAATCTCTTCAACAAATGGGGTTGGGAAAACTGGTTAACAACATGACCACATGCAAGAGAATGAAATTGGATCCCTATGTTACTCACAAAACTTAACCCCAAATGGATTCAAGACAAACGTAAGCACTAAAACCATACAACTTCTAGAGGAAAAAACAGGGAAAAACTCCTTGATGTTTTTGGCAATGGCTTTTGGAAATGATATCAAATGCACAAGCAAGAAAAGCAAAAATTAATAAGTGGGACGACAGCAAACTAAAAAGCTTCTGCACAGCAAAAGAGAGAAACAAAATGAAAAGACAATCAATGAAATCGGAAAAAATATTTGCAAATGATAGGTCTGATGGGGGGGTTAACATCTGAAATATCTAAAAACTCTTATAACTCATTTATACTATGGAATACTACTCAGCCATAAAGAAGACTAAAATAATGCCATCTGCAGCAACATACATGGACCTGAAGATTGTCATTCCAAGTAAAGTAAGCCAGAAAGAGACAGAAAAATATACCATATGATATCATACGTGGAATCTTAAAAAAAAAAAGAAAAAAAGGATACTATGAACTCATCTACAAAACAGAAACAGACTCGTAGACACAGTAAACAATCTTATGGTTACTGGGGAAAGGGGGTGGGAAGGGATAAATTTGGGAGTCTGAGATTTACAAATGTTAGCCACTTTATATCAAAACAGATTTTAAAAAATAATAAAATAGCATTGTATCCTTATGGAGCAGGGGGGGAAACTCATACAACTCAATAGTTAAAAAAAAAAACCAAAACAACCAACAACAACAACAAAAAATTTGATTTAAAAATGGGTGGAAGAACTGAATGGATATTTTTCCAAAGAAGATATGCAGATGGCACAGGGACATGAAAAGGTGCTCAACATCACTAATCCTCAGGGAAATGCAAATCAAAATCACAATGAGCTATCACCTCGCACCTGTTAGAATAGCTGTCATCAAAAAGACAAGAGATAAAGACAAGTGTTGGTGAGGATGTGAAGAAAAGAGAATCTTCGTGTACTGTTGGTGGGAATTACAGCCAAATGGCAAACCATATGGAGGTTCCTCAAAAAATTAAAAATAGGACTACCATATGATCCAGCAATCTCACTTCCAGGTATATATTCAGAAGACGTGAAAACAGTATCTGCTCTGCCATGTTCACTGCAGCATTAGTCGTAATTGCCAACGTAATGGGAACAGCCAAAGCATCCATCAACAGTGACTGGATGAAGAAGACTCGGTGTACATATACACTATGGAATATTATTCTGCCATGAGAAAGAAGGAAATCCTGCCATCTGCAACAACACAGATGAAGCCTGAGGGCATTAAGCTACGTGAAATAAGTCAGACAAAGACAAATGCTTCTTGATCTCACTTATATGTGGATTCTAAAAAAAGTCAGACTCGTTGAAACAGAGAGCAGACTGGTGGTGACCAGTGGCTGGGAGGTGGGGAAAATGAGATGTTGGTCAAAGGTCATGCTTCCAGTTATAAGATGAACAGTTCTAGGGATCTGACGTACAGCCTGGTGATTATACTTCATAATACTATATATATACTTGAAAGTTGCTAAGAGAGGAAATCTTACACGTACTCATGGCAAAAAAGAAATCGGTAATTATGTGATGAGATGCAGGTGTTAGCTAACAGGATGGTGGTAATCATTTTGCAATATGTGTGTCAAATCAACACATTGTACACTATGTGTGTCAAATCAACACGTTGTACACTTACACAATGTTATATGTCAATGTATAAATATGAATCAAACTTACACAATGTTATATATCAATTATAACTCAATAAAACTGGAAGATTTTTTAAATAAAAACACGTTTAAGGATTGTGACATTTTCAAAAATCAGGTTTGTGAAGTAAAAGTCATTTGTCTAACTAATGCTAGGGGAGCCTCCTAGAAAGGCCGGCTGGCTCCTCCCCACCCAGCCTCTGGCCCCTCCCGGCTGCCTGTTCTCAGCCAGGAGTCAGCTCTTAAACACACGCTAAGCACTTAGAACAATCTCAGCTCACAGCACGGCTGCCTGAGTGCTCACCCTTATTATCGCTGTTATGATTCCGTCTAGCGCTATACAAGCATCAGGTGAGAAGTCCTTGTTTGCTAAAACACCAGCATGTCCTGCTGGAACCAAAAATCTCTCAGAGTGCTGAGCATATGACAAAAAAAAAAAAAAAAGAAAATTCAACAAGTTTTCCTCTACATGTGTAAGGAGGAAAACGTAAAGATGTATTGGTGAGTCCCAGGTATGGCACTAAACTCTCTCCTTGGGCCACTGACTTAGTGACCAAGCAGCCTGCTCTTATAATTACTCCTTTCCTGAGTGTCATTGCTTTTAGTAACCATGTGCAGTGGCTACCCCTTTCCTCCTGCAGTCCGCAAGCTGTGCCTTCCCTTAGAAAGCTCTTCAGGGTCCAGGTTTTCCCTCCAGCTTCATGGGGCGAATCCTGTGACCCACTCCATGAACCAGGGTGAGCCTACCATGTTCTCAACCTGGATTGTCCTGTCCAGCCCAAGGTAGCCATCCATCCAGATGCCAGCTGCCCTGCAGTTGAGGCTGACTCGTATTCTGAAGACATAAGAAAGGACAATATTCATGGTTGCCTGCAAACACAGGATCGCCAGTAGGACTGAGAGACAGGGAAACACAGAGCGACGTGCCGAGAGTATATCCCTTCCCATGAATCCCGGCATGAGCTGGCTCCCCACACTTTGACCAGTGACCTCTGTGCATGCAGTTTTAGCTCGGGGGTTCCAAGGCCACCCACTAAGGTCTGAAGAGGTGAGTGCCAGGGAGTTGCCACCAGCTAAATACTGATGCCAGGGGTCACAAAAACCCAAATGGTAACGTTTCCTGTGGGTGACACTACCTGAAAGAGGCCCATTGTTAGTAAACAGCCAACTCACTTATCTTTCAAGCATATCAGATTCCTAATAGAGAATATAATGGTGGGGCAGGTTTAAAGAAAAACAATCACGCATATACCAGTCCAAACTCTGTCGCTCAGCTAAAGGGCTATTAATTGTCCATCGCAATATCTTGAGCCGGACACAAACCCTGCTCCCAACTGCTTAATAAATGCTCCTCCTCCTTGTCAGAATAAAAGTATTAATTTCCTCCTAATTCTTCTCCCACCCAAAGCCCCCCTATGTGGGCGCATGTGCGTGCGCACGCACACACACACAGCTCCGTCTACTCTCCCTCCCAACAAGAGAGGGCGTTCAGACTCTTCTGTGCATAATTTTGTTGTATCCACTTTCTAAATGCAGAGTGCTGGGCCTCTCCATGCTGGCTCGGTCTGGGTCACTTTTCAAATTTGGCACGCACAGGGACCTTAGTGACCAGTCTCTGCTCACACAGATTTGACACTGGTTGGGTTCCCCAAGCAGAACCCTGCTAAGCATCTGCAACTTCATGCTGGAAACTTATCAGAGTCCATTTTTCAAACTTACAGAAGCACGTTAACCCGGCATTAAAGAAGAATAATAGCCCACGTATACACCCATCTCCCCTCACGCTCACTGATTTTAAAGAAATCGTTGCTTTTACGAAATTCAAAGAACAAGCACCAGGGCGCAGGCAACTCAGACCCACGATGACAACGGGTCCAAATGCTGCCTTTCTCTCATAGGACGTGAGCAGAGAGCAAGGCTAGGTGAGGCTTTAAATAGCAGTGAAGTGGGGATGGGGCTGTGGGCGGGGATTGAGAGACTAAGGGGCAGGGCTTCACCTCTCCTCACCACCCACCCGCCCCATTCCAAGGCTGTGAACCTCACTCTGCCTAAGAGAAAAGGGACTGGTAAAGAAGGTTTTTAATAATGTAGTTAAGCCTTTTGTGAATATTTTATTAAGTTCTTGTATATCCTAGTTCACTAATAAAAAATCAGGAGCAAGAATACTGATACATTTTATCTTCCATCATGATGGACGGAGATCAAGGGGAAAAAAGTCTTGGGACTTAGTGCCAATTTTTTTCCCCCCAGGACAGTTTCACTAAAAACCTTGGTCTCAACCCATTCTGAAAAATTGGGATTTCATGATACATGAAATGACTCAGGAGTACACATTGTTCCAGGCTGACAAAATCCCTCTGTTCTGGGAGAAGGGTGATCACATGAAGGGGAAGATAATTCTTGCCTCAGTTAGATGCACACATTACCATGGGACCCAGAGGAACACTCTCTAGGTTTTTCTCCCGGTAACATCCATGAGGGACAGGCTCTTGGGGGCACTGCATGGACTTCAGGTCTCTCTAGACAGACAAGAGGAATCATCTTCAATTGCCTAAAGGAAAACCAGATAGAAACATGACACTCATTCACTCAAAACCATTTCCTGTCCCACCCACCTAACCTCATCTCCTCTTGGGAAGAGAAAATTCAGTTGAACTAGTGCTATCATTTTACAGGAAAACTCTCTAAATGCTTCAGACCCGAGGTTCTGCTTCAGCCCATATCAGTGCAGACAGAAGGTGGAGCAGAGACGTCAGGCATCTTTCTAGAGGGGTGTACAGCTCTCACCTCTACCTTGAGGCTGGGTGATCTTGAGCAAGTGTCTGGTTCACAATATAACTGGGGGGACTGGATTCAAGGGGCTCTCAGCCCCTTTTCCTCTAACATCTTACTGTTCTGTGAGCCTACTAGCTGGCTTGGGGATCTTCTGTTTTGCAGGAGTAATCATTCTACTGGTTGGATTTGGGGAAGGGGTTTGAACCATAAGAGAGGGAGGCAAGGGCAAGCACATATTAGATACAGCACAGCTGCGTCTTCTGGAAGAGTTTGGTGAGAAGCCTTGGAAACAGACTCTGGATAGTGGCCCTTCACTACTTGCCTCTCCTCAGGCACTTCCTGGGTGCTGGCAGATTGGAGGTGGACACTTTGTACACTTACCTCAGTTCATCCTCACAACAATCCTGTGAGGTAGGTACACATGACAGGGACTGTTGGTTGCCTCCCAATTCCATCTTTCTTTTCCTTCTTACTCACAGAAACCTGGAAAACTGTATTAGTTAGTTACTGCTGGGTAACACATAAGCCCAACACTTAGCTGAAAATAACAAACTATTATCTTGCGGTTTCTGTGGGTCAATTTTGTGGGTCTTCTGGATCATGTCTCTCAAGAAATAAAGTCAAGATGTCCACTGGGGATGTAGTCATCTGAAGGCTCAACTAGAGGAGGATGGTCTTCCAAGCTCATCCATGAGGCTGTAGGACTGAGGGCCTCCAGTCCTCACTAGCTTTTGGCCAGAGACATCAGTTCCTTGCTACATGGGTCTCTCTACATGACAGCTCACAACATGGTGGCTGGCTTTCCTCAGAGCAAGAGAGCAAGAGACGGCACCCAAGATCAAAGTCACCATCTCTTTGTGACCTAATCCAATCACTTTTCCCATATTGTATTGGTTAAAAAAAAGTTACCAAGATGGGGCCACACTCAAGGGGAGGGAATTACACAAGAGTGTGAATACCAGGAGGCAAGGATTCCAGGCTTCCTACCACAACCACATTTCCTAGACTCCCTTGAAGCCAGAAATGGCCATGTGACTAAATTCTAGCCAATGAAATATAAGCAGAAGTTCCATGATAGACTTCTGGGAAGGTTCCTAAAAAGGGAGTCAGAATGTAGTTCTTCTTTCTCATAGTCTGGAACATAATGGCTGGCGCTCTAGCAGCTATTTTGGACTATGAGGTGACCTTTGGAATGGAAGCTAGAGCAGAAAAACTGAAGGAGCCTGGGTCTGTGATGATTTCATGGACTGAATCAACCAGCCCTAACTACCTGCCCTGGGAGTCTTGTATTTTAGAGGGGTGGGGGAGGGGTGGTTAATACATCTCAAAAATTTTTTTTAATAATTTTATTTTCTGAGTTAAAATAACATAACATAAAATTTACCATCTTAGCCAATTTAAGGGTACAGCTCAGCAGTAATAAGTACAATTCACATTGTTGTGCAGCCATCACCACCATCCATCCCCATAACTCATTTTATCTTATAAATCTGAAACCATACCTATTAAAACATAACTCCCCATTCTCCCCCTCCCTCAGCCCTTGGCAACCACCATCCACAGGTGTCTCTTACATGAGTGTTTTGAGCCACCAGATTCAGAGCTCTGTCACTCACAGCTCAACCCAGTCTTAAACACTGCAGTATTATTATCCCCATAGTACAGAGCAGAAAGCTGAGGTTCAGCAGTACACAGAACTCATCCAAAGTCAAAAGCAAGTAAGTGCTTAAGTCTGGGCTTGACTTCCAATTTGTTTCATTACAAAACATCCTTCTTCCAATGCTTCTAGAAAGAGATCATCTAGAGTTCCTGCCCATCTTCTAGACAATTTACATCATGTGAAATCAAACAGAAGACAGGAATGGCATGTAATAGCAGCCTGGCAAAACAGTCCTGGTACTAGGGCGGGGAGCAAAGATTGCTGTTTTTATTCACCGTGTTCCCGTCTCTCCTGTGGGGACACTCAGCAGAGAACACTGTGGACTGGGCAATTGTTGGTTTGGGAAACGGTCCCAATTTCAGAATAAGTGATAGGGAAGGTTGGACTGAAAGAGCGAAAAGGCTGGGTAACAGATGGTCCGTGTGTGAAGGCAGACTGCCCCAGGCTCCGGGGCAGACAGACTGAAACACCCCCAGGCACAAGGCCACCTCCTTCTGGAGGAGATCCTAATCAGACCCCCAGTAGAGTAGGAGGGAAGGTTCTGGCAGAGATGGGTCATTCCCTAGCCAGGGAACACCATTTCAAACCCCAGGACCTGCCAGAGAAACCGGCTCTGCTGGTGGTGAAGTGATGCTTGTCAACTCAACGTCTGGGTGGCCTTTTCACGGGTAAGGAAATTTCTTTTCCTTTCATTCACTCACCCTGATCTACCTGCAAACCAATACTAACCCCCGTGAATGAACCTCCCTGGATGAATGGAGAGGAAGGATTCCTTATTAGCCTATCAATTAGTCCTAGGTCAATGAGTGCTTCTCAAGGGGCTGGAAAGACTTGACTTTCTCAAGTTAACCTAAACATTTCTGTTTTACTCTTCATGTAAGTCTACAATTATTACATACCAGCACACTCTTTTCAGAGACTGCAGGGCCCTTCTTGTACCCAGACATTCCCTGTAATAGAAAGTGCACCAGGGCTTTGATGGTGGCAAGTGACAGAAATGCTACTCAGACCAAGACAAGCAACAGATGGGTGATAATTTACTGATTTTCTTACCTGGAAAGGATGGGGTGGAGCTAGCAACCGGGTACAAACGGATCCAGGATCCCAGTTCTGCCGTCCAGGTGCTCTCTCAAACTGGGTCGTCCTTCTCTACCATTCCAAGTGGGTTCTCGACGTGGATTGGAGAGTGGCAACCGGCAACCAGCAACCAGCAACCCCAGATCACTTGCTTCTAGCACAGCGTCTGGAACAGGCATGAGACTTCCCTGAGACTCCATCTGCCCAGGAAGTGATTGGGCCAGCCCAGGACAAAGAGGCACTCTCATTGGCTGGGCCTGGGTTGCGTGCCAACATCCTGCAGAGGATGGTGGGGTGTGTGTATGGTGGCCCATACACTTGAAATAACATGACTGGAGAAGTTCAGCTCAAAGAAATGGGATGCTTCCAGAAAAAAGCAACCCATTTTGACTCAGCCCAACATTCGAAATATGTGAATAAAGGTTTTTCTGCTCATACTTGCAAAACCAAATGCCTTCCCGAATCCAGCTCGTGGATGGTCTTTCAATGCACTGGGCCCCCGGGGCCTGGCTTGGGGCTTCCTCCCCCTCACCACCCTCTGCCCTGCTTTCTGTCTTCCTGAAAACCTCCCTCACTCTCCTACCTGCTTTATTTGCATGGGGAGCTTAACCACCAGCTATAAAGTTCCTGGGGGCAGATCTCGCCATTTTCCCTCCAGGATGGGTGCACTTCCCTCCACTGGCAGAGAGGGAATTCCCTCTCTAGTCCCTGCCTAAGCCCTCTGACAGCTGCCCTCGTGTTCTGTGAAGACAGAAGAGCTGCTGGTAAGCCAGGCTGCTAATTCCAGATGACATTTGACCTTTCAACTCCAACAGGCTGAGTGGCAGCCGAGTGCAAAGCCACAGCTGGATGTTGACAGTTCTTGGCTGAAAAGAGGGAAAGGGAGGGAGGTGCCCTATCCATCTTCTGCAAGAGGAGGGGTGAGCCGATTTGATTGATGTATCCCAGTCCTAGCCGAGGAGATACTGGGTATAAGCTCCTTTGCTTGGGCCATAAAATAAAGCACCCTTTTCCAAGGAGTGCAAATCTATTGGTGACCCTACATATTTGTGTCTGTTCATAGCAGCGTTAACGTGGCCAGCAGTCCAGGAAAATGCGACGGAGTTACTCACGACCACCCAGAGAGCCTTCAGGCTTGGTTCCACCGTGATGTCAGGAAGCTGATGGACATCTACAGCTAGTATGTGCTGTTCTGTCACTGCCGCGGACAGGCAAGGGCAGCCCTCCTATGAACGTGGAAGTTTGTGCCCAAGAGAGGAGCCCCATGAGCCCCCAAATGGATAGATGGCAGTGGTGGACCTCCAGAGTCAGGAGGGACCGCGGGAGTCTGTCCTGTCTCATTTGCTTCTTTCACAGTGGCATTTTAACCCCACATTAGGCTGTCAGCCTGGGGTAAAGAAGAGTCTCCAGATTGACCTTTCTTAGGGTCCTGTCTTGGATCCCTTCAAGGTCTACATTTTCTGTCTAGCCATGCTCCCTCCTGCTGCTACACGTTGTGCCCTTTGCTTAGCCATCTCACCCATTTGGAGGCAAAGGAGAGAAAGAACATAGTGATGGAGAGTCGGTCCTGGCCAACACGAGGATGGACTGTGGCCCCATTTGGTTGCCAGGCGTTTGTATGAAATCTTCTTGTTGCTGTTTGTTTCCTGGGGCCATATTTATGACAGGAATGGCACAGCGATACGCAACAGTTCATTTCAAAGTGTTTAGCTTTTCTCTCTCTCTCTTTCTGGTGCTGGGGTCCAGAGGGAAGCAGCAGAGAGGGGCAGGGCACCCCCAACTCTGGCGCAAGCGCTCTTCCTCTGCAGAGGGACACTTGCCTCCAGAATAGAGCCGTTCCTCGGCACCCCGGTCTATTTTTGCCATGGAGCCGGCTGCCCCATGCCAAGGTTTCTTACCACAAATAGAACTTCTGGAAAGGCCTCCTGGTTTCCTCTGGGCTTTCAGACACCTCTTCGCATTTCGTTTGGCTTCCCTTTCCGCAGCCCCAAAAGGGAATATTTGGAGGCTCTCCTGTTCCGCTGCAAGCCTCTGCAGGGGATTCCTTCGGCGAGTGAGGAGCCTGGCCCGCCTCGTCTGCTCTAGCCGCTGGCACACCCGCCTCCTCAGCCCAGAAGCTGAGCCAAGAAGCCTCAGGAGAGCCAGCCAGAGTGCCAGTGTGAACCCCGAAGTGTAGGCTCACCCCTGAGTGAGGCGGTGGAGCAGAGGAATCCCACAGGGCCACCCTCAGTGTCCATGTCCCCTCAGATCCCGGCCCTTCCAAGTCCTTCTGGCCACCACCAGTCCTTTGAGACAGGATTTGAATTTTATTTTTAATAAAATAAATTTATTTAAAATATTATTATAAATAAATTTTAAAATTAAAAAAAATTTAACGGAGGTACTGGGGATTGAGCCCAGGACCTCGTGCATGTGCCCTACCACTGAGCTGTACCCACCCATCTGAGACAGGGTTTGAGAACTCGTTACAGTAAGTGTCACGGACAAGTGACATGCAACGGAGACACTTACCTTGCAGGGGATGCCTGGAGTCTGAACACTCCAGAAGCAATTCCTATGGGTCAAGTTAAAGCAAGTTAAGGGAGAGGAAGAGTTCACCACACTTGTGTGCTAGGAAATGGCAACCAGGGAAGGACTACGCACGCCCAAGACCCGCTTTGGTTGGTCGGGGTCAGAGGTGAGAAGGTGCAGGGGAAAGCCACTTTCCAATCCACTCGAGATCCAGCTTTGGAAGCTTCCAGAACAGCCACAAACTCCATCGTTTGAAAACCTCCCACATTATGTAAGCATCCCCACTCCTTCCCTCAGAGTGTGGCTGCTCAGAGCCCAGCCTTTGGCAGACGGAGTGGGTTCCAATTTCAGTGCTGCCGCTTACTAGCTGTGTGACCTTAGGATGTTTCTAAACTGCTCTAAGCTTTCCTTTCCCCTCCCGAGGGAACAAAGGGGATAATAATAATGTGTCTGGCACATAATAAACCTCTGAGTCTGAAATAACAAGTGTCTCCGAGACCCAGACCCTTCACATGAAAGCAAGAGTGATATTTTCCACATGGTCCCAATTATCCAGAGTAAAGATATGAATGAGCTATGAGGTGCCAACACTTACCATGAACTAGAGATGGAAGTGACCTTGCCCTGGGATCTGCCCTGAGCAGGCACAGGTTTATTAGCAAGTGTGTGCATTTCCCTTGCAGCCAAGGCAGCTTCCTCAGGCCCCGTGGCTCCCAGACCTGGGCCAGCACCAGAAGCACCTGGAGGGCTCCTTTCCAGACTGCTGGGCCCCACCCCTGGAGTTTCTGACTCAGTACCACTGGGGCGAGGCCCGGGCGTTTGCATTTCTAGCAAGTTCTCAGGTGATGCTGATGGGAACGTTCCCTGCTAGGAATGAGGAGCTTCAAAGAGCTGGGCGTGTCTCTCTGATCCTGGCTCTGGGCCTCGGCGTGGCCTCCTCTGGGAAGGACATGATTAGCTGGCTCACGGGTAGGGTGTTCTGGACGCCGCGCCTACTCAGGATTGGTAGTCCTTTGGCAGGAAGGTAAACTGGAAAGCAATTTGGCCATACAGAGCGAGAGCCTTAAGAGGTTTCTGCTCCCTGATGCTGTCATCCCCTTTCTGGGAAGCTGTCGCTTAAGAAACAGTTTGCGACGTGGTCAAACCTTTATGATTGCCATGGCCTTGAGAAAGGGGAGGGTGCAGGTGTGTGCAGAACTCCGCTCCTGGCACCCCGGGTGGACGTCCGGAGAGTGCAGAAAGTCCGGCCCCGACCCAGAGCACCGACCCCCCGATGCATACAGGACGGGAGATGAGACTCGCGGATGCGGAGGGATTCCGGCCACCCGACTCCCTTGGCACTTCAGCTGTCGTCTCCTCGTCTTCTCTCCAGGCCACGTGCTTCCTGCGGACGTGGCGGCATCGGGTGGTGGTGAGGCACGTGGGCGTCACAGTCAGACTTCCTGGGGTTTGAATTCCAGCTCCGCCACTGACCTCATCTCTAGGTCACCTGAGCCTCAGTTTTATCTTCAAGTAGGGGTCAGAGCACCTACGCTTCGCAGAGTCGTGAAGTCCACTCCTGTTATCAATTACAGAAAAAACACACAGTGCCCTAGAGAAGAAACTACTCTCGAAGAGCAAAATGGAATACTGGAGGGGGAGTTCAAAGTGGGGAGTTCTAGAGAGCAGGGGTATATGTCTCCAAGAGGAGACTCCTGGGGGTGGAGGGTAGAGCTCAGTGGTAGAGCACGGGAGGAAAAGAATTATTAAAAAAAAAAAGAAATAAAAAGAAAACAAGATAAAAGCAAGGGGAGGCGGGGAAGAGGCTTGTTTTTCCCTAGTGAAAGCGAACACTGGTAGGGAGCGGGGAGGGCCTTGGTGAGCGCTCACTCCCTGTCTTCGCGCCCAGGGACCCGGGCGCTGGCGGCGAGGGGCGGGGCGGGGGTCCTTCCTGACTCACCGGGAACTCAGCCAGCGTCCTCGGGCTCGCACAGCTGGTGAGCGGCAGCCAGCGGGATCCCGGATCCCGGATCCGGGAGAGCAGCCGCCGTGCACCGGAACACGCTGCCTCAAATGTGTGGTTTCCTCAACGCCTGTTATTAATGGAAACTCTTCAGGAGCCTGCGTGGGGATGAGAGGATGGAAAAGGGAGACAATGAGGGCTCTGTAAGGTGGGGTGCTCCTATCAGCCCATCCATCGGGACGCCAAGTGCCTGGTGATTCACGCACAGCCGGCGGAAGATGAAGTCACCTGGACAATGGAGAATTCCGGGGCTTTGTAAAAACAACCCAGACACCCGGAGGACACTCCATTTTTTCCCCGACTTAGACCTAGCCTCCAAATGTGGGCAGAAGCCCAAGTTTCTGAGTCATGATCATTTGTAAAGGTAACTTGAAGGCACGGCGCTCCGAGATGCTATTTAAGTTTTACTCCATTCAACAAAGGGAGGACAAACTGTCAGGTAAGCATAGTCCTTCCAGACTAAAATGAACAACTCTGAATTCCCAGATTCTGGGTATTGGTAATGAGACCCACTAACCAGACGGCAGTGCACAGAGGGGAGATACACAAAGAGATTTTACCTTCATCACCAGCTAGAATGTGGTAGGGGACCACTGTCAGCCAAGTGTTTCTGGTGGTCTGGCTACTGCCAGTAATGGAGATTCCACCTTCTGGGCTTGGAGCACCTGCCACGGTGACCAGGTGAGGGTGCTGGCCCCTCCCATCCTAGAGCTGGAGGAGGCAAGCATCAGAAGGCAGGCTGGTCACTAGTTCTCTGCGTGGTCTCAGAGCGACAGCAGGATTTTCCATGGACAAGTCACATGAGTTGGGCAGGGGCGCATAAGGCTTCCCTCCACTTAGGGCTCTGCATAAGTCCACAAATTTGCACACCAGGCAAGGTGCTTTGCTCTTAAGCTTTCTAGCCCCCTATTTCCCTATGTCCTCACTTAAGAAAAATAGGCGTGGAGATTCAATCTCTTTTCTTATGAAATACGGATTAAAGTCCATCCTTCTACTCCCAAAAAAAGAAAGAAAAAGGGGGGGGGGCTCTTTTTTGTTGTCTGTTCTTTTTCGATAGGATGATCTTATCTAAAACATTTTCATTTTCAAAACACCACCCAGTTGGTGGACAGTTTCACCAGGCCCAGCCCCACCAAAGAGCTTTCTCAAGTTCAGATTCAGGACAGGCCTGGAAAAAGCAGGAGGCTGAGGCAGAAATGGGCAAGCGGCTGAGGACAACGTGAGCTGCTTTTAGCTGCAACCAGACTACATGGAGGACAGCGTGGCTCTCACCTCATAGGAGAAACACGAACTGGCCTTTGGGTATTCTATTTCCCCTCCTCGACAAAATCGGATGCAGAGATTTCCTCCATGAATCATTTGGGGAAAAAAAAGATTTCAATTGAAGTCATGAAACTTAAGTCATGAGATTAAAAAAAAAAAGCATTCAAAAAGATGGCACTATATTTAACATGCACTAGTTTCCCAGGTCAGGAGAAAGCGGCCTGGCTTCAGAAGGAACCAAGGGTCCAAGCATTTTCCTCTCCATGTCCAGAGAAGGGCTGCAAAATCGTCCAAGTAGGAGCTGTGCATGCAGGAACAGTGAGACCCTCTCTGTGCTGGTGTTTGGCAGTAATAACAGCACGCTTTTAAAACACACACTCAAGACCCATGTTTGTTATTAAGTGGGTAGACTTTTTTCCCCCATTTTTGTATTTATTTAATTGAAGTATAGTAAGTTTACAATGTCGTGTCAATTTCTGGTGTACAGCATAATGCTTCAGTCATACATATACATACTTATATTCCTTTTCATATTCTTTTCCATTATAGGATACTACAAGATATTGAATATGGTCCCCTGTGCTTTACAGTAGGACCTTGCTGTTTATCTATTTTACATATAGTAGTTAGTATCTGCAAATCTCGATCTCCCAATTTATCCCTTCCCACCCTCTTTCCCCTCTAGTAACCATAAGGTTGTTTTCTATGTCTCTGAGTCTGTTTCTGTTTTGTAAATAAGTTCATTTGTGTCTTTTTTTTTTAGGTTCCACATGTGAGTGATATCATATGTATTTTTCTTTCTCTTTCTGGCTTACTTCACTTGGAATGACAGTCTCCAGGTCCATCCATGTTGCTGCAAAAGGCATTATTTTATTCCTTTTTAATGGCTGAGTAGTATTCCACTGTGTGTGTGTGTGTGTGTGTGTGTGTGTGTGTGTGTGTGTGTGTGTGTGTATACCACAACTTCTCTATCCAGTTGTCTGTCAATGGACATTTAGGTTGCTTCCATATCTTGGCTATTGTAAATAGTGTTGCAATGAACACTGGGGTGCATGTATCTTTTTGAATTAGCATTCCCTCTGGACATATGCCCAGGAGTGAGATTGCTGGATCATACATTACATCTATTTTTAGTTTTTTTGAGGAATCTCCATAATATTTTCCCTAACGGTTATACCAAACTACATTCCTACCAACAGTGTAGGAGGATTCCCTTTTTTTCCACACCTTCTCCAGCATTTATCATCCATGGACTTTTGAATGATGGCCATTCTGACTGGTGTGAGGTGATACTTCATTGTAGTTTTGATTTGCACTTCTCTGATAATTAGTGATACTGAGCATTTTTGATGTGCCTATTGGCCATTTGTATGTCTTCATTGGAGCCTTGCTTGTTTAGTTCTTCTGCCCATTTTTGGACTGGGTTGTTTGTTTTTTGTTATTAAGTTGTATGAGCTCTTCATATATTCTGAAAATTAAGCCCTTATCAGTTGCATCATTTTTAAGTATTTTCTCCCATTCTGTAGGTTGTCATTTTGTTTTATCATTCCCTTTGCTGTGCAAAAGCCTATAAGTTTAATTAGGTCCCATTTGTTAATTTTTGCTTTTATTTCTATTGCCTGGGTAGACTGCCTTCAGAGAACATCACTAAGATTTATGCTGGAAAATACTTTGCATATTTTTTCTTCTAG